ACCCACAGCCTGAGGCAGATGGCGAGAGGCGAGGAAACCTCGAAAATGTGGGACTTATCTACGACATCTTCTTCATGGAACTTATGGAACACTTAAGAATTTTGAAGATCACCCTGCAGCCGCCACCTCAAAAAAGCTACCTCCTGAAGCTCCCTGAACCCTCCGTTGGTACCTCGGAACATGGGCATCGGGTTTCTTACGATCCCTGAAGTCCAGGTCACCTGGGTGTCGGTCCACCCCAGCGGACAAACAACAGCGCCTGGCTGGACTGGGTCGTGGCATTCTTCCGCAGGAACTCCATGCTGTAGAGAACCTTCGGAGGTTAAACAAAAACTCAACGCAAGAGCTTTGAAGAGTCCGGATTCACAAAAATGCCATGAGTAGATATAAAGAGTCTCATTGCCAATGGCCTATAAAAGCTTTGAAGTGCCATGCAGTTAGATTGGTTCCCTGCGAGTTCGTTTTGGGGTCCCCACGTTCTGCTTTTCGAAGCGGTGTTTCATGGAGAGTATCCGATAGTATCCATGCTTGTAAGTAAAACATATACTATGGATGCTTCTGTTGATAAATTTCAAGGAATTTTCAAACCCAAGTGGCAACCAATGAAACCTCAAATCAAGGGTGCTGTTGTACTGGTACCCATCAACCAAACAGTTTAAACCAAAAACAAAACAAAACAAACAAACAGACAGACAGACAAACAAACTGACTGACTAGCTGGTAACTAACTAACTATAAACTAACTAACGTAACAAACAAAAAACAGCAAACAAACAAAACAAACTATTTAACTAACTATAAACACAACAAACATAGTATAAGAAAACAAAACAAAACAATAAACAACACACAACACTAAACAACACTAAACAAAACAACACAAACAACAACAAACAAAACAAACAACCGCGCAATCAACCGCGCTCCACACGGCGGCCCACCTCCTGGATGGCCTTTGCCAAGTCTCCCTTGCCTTCTTGAATCTGCAGCGATGCGTTGTGGGAACGGGACGGTTTCTCCCCAGGGCGTCTTGGTTTGGCATCCAACCAGCTGCAGTCACTTAGTTCAGGGTCACCTAGCTGGAATCACCAAAAACATTGAAAAACCGAGAACCCTGTTCGCTTTACCTGCTTAGGCACTAAACTCTTATACCAGGACCCTCCGTTCGGACGGCTCGTCTCTTTGGGGACCCAGCCGATGGTGAACCGGACACGCACTGCACACACCGATCGAACGGAAGGTCTTGTTGCGTATTTCAATGGGTTCGAGTAGCTGACAGTGTGGAAGTCAACTTCCCATAGACTGTTTCGGCATTCAAGGCCTTTTTTGGGGGACAAATTGTAGACTGTACCAGGACCCTCCAAGGGGTGCTTAATGGAAGCCTATAGGTAGTGTGGGGTAGTCCAGCCAGGACACCACGACAGGAGGGTCCAGGTAGATGCACAAATAACCAACGGAGCTAGAGCTTCTGGACAGCAACGTGAAACAACCAACTCTTCCAGCACCACCCATTCTTCGGGTGGTCATTCGACGTCTCATGGGGCCCAATTCTTCAGTTTGAGCTGGAACAGCCCAGCGATGAAAAGCCGCTTCCATAGCCTTCAAAAACCAAAAAAAACACTGGTTGATCTGGTTCTGGAGTCATGCACCTGTCACGAAAAGTCGAAATGCATTTCGAAGATCTCGAGGTGAATGAATATAGTAAATAGCAGCAATTTATCCGGACACGCCAATGAGCACCTTGATCAGATCTACCCGGCCTTAACACCCATACCGATACCGTAAGAACTCCTAGTGTGAACACATGCTGGACGGAAACGGAAACCGGCCTTGGCTCTCAGGAGCCGTAGCTCCGCTAAGAGCTCCGCCTCCTCCTCGCTCAACGGCCTCCCAAGCGAACGAAGGTTCGTGGCGTCCTTCGGACGTCGTTCGGAGTTTTTGGAAAACACCCCAAATCGATGGGACTGAAAGACTGGTGCAAGCAAGTGCCTGGACTGGACCCGACTTCAAGTATACCCTAGAAATATGGGATATAAAAACAGGTAGATGCGACTGTACCCTACTGGGATGGTCTACCGTAGTTGTTTTAGAAGTCAGCCAATGTATCATTGATGGAGTGATCACACATTATACCTCCATTTGGTATCTTAAGGTCCGATATACCTGCACCTCGTGGTTGTGTCGGTAGTTCAACATACCTTTATTAGGTCGATGTGAACCACACAAAGATCCGCAACCAAGATAAGCATCCACTGAACAAGCACGTTCTGGTCAAAGTGCCCGGCTCGGCTCACCAATCAACACCCGTGGGCCCATGGGTCTATAAATGCGCGTGGAATATCAGAAACAATAGCAAAGAAACATCAGAAAACTAGGGAAGGTGGTTGGGGTGGTTTGGGGGGGGGTCTAGCCGCTTAGCCACCTTCGGACGTGGTTGGAGCCATTGGAGCCGTGTAACAGGGGTCAATGGATTAGTATAAGAGCTGTTTTCACAACCACCCAAACGCTCCGTCCACAGGCGCCAGTCCCTCAACACCGATCCTATCGATCCTATCGCCCCCCAACCCCCTACGGATCCGGCTCCAGCCCTACTTAGTGTCGGAGGGTCCGTAAGCGTCTGATAGGCTGATAGTTGTAGCACAGTAGTCCGCTACAATTGCTATACCTCTTGCATCTCTTCCATGCTCAGTCCATGGGACCCTTTGATGCTCGGGAGTGAATCACATTCTGGACCCCTACAGGTCCAGTCCGACCCAGTAAAACCAGGTAAAACCAGGTAAACCTATCCTGGTCCTTTGCCTCATCGAGCAGACTCAGAGTGTTTTTGTATCTATCAGCTTCAGTAAAGCATGAGGTCATTTGGCTCATTGACCTGTGAGGTTTGATGGTTTTCGGCTTTGTGGTCGAAACCCTTTCACCGATTTCATCGTCAGAATCCCGAAGCGCCGTGGTCCTCCTTGTCCGATGGTCGAACGTTTTGCTTTTCGTAATACGAACAAATCTCTCCCGGTCCCACCTGGACAACGCCTGGAAGCTCGGCTCCTGCGAAGCTTCGGGCTGAGCTAAGGTCCTTCTCAAGACCCTTTTCGCTCGACCCCCCGGCCGTGTCCACAGGTGGGGTCCAGACTTCATGGAACCTGGTGTGAAGCTGGGCAGTTGTCGGCCGGGCCGGGCTTCAGTTGAGGGGCTTTTTCAGATCGGTGTTCGATCGCGTGCGTTGTTTCGGAGTGTGTTGTTTCGGAGTGCGCGCATGCTGCTGGGGGGCTCCCAATCAATGGTGAACAGACTATATGTATGACTATTACTGACTTTATGATATTCAATGAACTCATGGCCGCCAGTCCATTGGTTCTTGGCGATGGCGGACGGAATGATCCGGTTCCTGACCCGCACATGGAGGTGTCGACACCGGTCCGCACGTCCGAGGGACCGGGACCGGGAAACCCCGGTCGTAGACCGGTCGTAGACCCGGTAGACTCCGGGTTCCCCGGGTTCCCCGGGCCATGACCGGGTTACGTCCCGAAAAAAAAGATATGATCTGTATCGATCTGTTGTACCTGTTGTGCCTGTTGTGCCCTGTCGCAGTCGGGTCCGTCTTCCCTGTCTTCCAAACCGGTTCAAGTGTGGCCGGGTCTCGATGGGTCAGGTCCACAACCCTCCAGCAGATCCCCGACATCGGACCACAGGTGGTTTAGGAACGGCACAGCAGATCTGACCGCAGGCCCCCCCAAAAAGAAGAGCATGTTCTGGCTCCCAAATCCCCGTCTTGTCACATGACTGGTGGCTGAAAGATGGTTTTACATGTATCGTGTTCATGCCACCCCATGGATCGAGCTCGCGGAAACACCTCGAACAGATCGAATGGAGGATCCCTTGACGACCTGCCAGGTCAGTCACAACCGAGTACAGGTCGAACCGACCTGGCAGGTCTTGGATGCTGGTTGGAGGAGTCAAAATCTGAATTAGAAGATTCCATCTGAGGTACAAGGTTGGAGGTACCACAGGTTCCATCTGCTTTAATTCAGGTCAGTTTTCAGCCCAAGCGAACCTGTGGTACCTCCCTGCACGAGAAGCCGTCGACCAGTGCACACCAAAAAGGTGACACAAACATCCGCACGCGCGACTCATATGATGGACCCCCGCGCTGACGATGTTCCGAACTGCGTGCTGCTGGTCTCTTTTGAGCTGGTCGTCGCCCGGAGAACCCACCAGACCGACCAGGTATTTGCCAAGTCGCCTGGTGGTCCAATGCTCCGTTTGGATCCGTTTGGTAGACAAGCCAATGTCACTCGGAGAGGGAAGAACGCCCGGGTTCCAACCGACGTCTCTCCGGGGGGATTGCCCACCGCGTTCCAGCGAACGGAAGGACTTGAACACCGAGTTCTTTTCAGATGGAACCGAGTTCAGTCGCAGTTGAGCTTACCTGGAAGTCTCGGTTGATACCTCGGAATGCGGGTACAAGATAGTACAATGTGGTAGATTGGAGGGCCCAGGTATTGTAACTCAGAAATGAATCCAAACGGAAGTTCTGGGTGAGTATTGCTCCCTCCAACAAACCATAAAAATATGGGGATCCGGATGTGTGGTACCTCTGGTGATCCGGATGTGTGGAGATCTTTTTCCGTGGTGGCCGAAGGTTCATCCACATCCATTGGTTTGAAAAGGGACACGGATGTGTATTTGAATAGGAGGGTCTCCAAACATCAAGGAGCTCTTAGGGGGGGGCATCCCTATTTTCATGACACTCACACCGCATCTCGGCAAAGGCCACTGATGGTCCTTCCTGCGTCGCTGGACTTGGATCCTGGGACTTTGCCCACGGGTGTTCAGATGGAAGAAAGCTGCAAACAGGTCGAGAATCGGTCATGAGCAACTGAAGACACAGTTAGAAACTTGTGCTCATGTGACTCATACCTGGTACCCCCCCCAAGAGTGAGAATGATCATTCCAAATTGAAACTCAATCTTTTGGGGAAGTGGGGTAACCATGGGTAACATAAAGCACTTCGGGGTACCAGGTACAAGAAAACACATGTTCAGGACACTTGACTGAGTCAGACCCGCAGCGTTGAAGAAACTCTTTGTGGGGCCAGCCACTTCATCGCCAAGGAAGTTCATTTCTTCCTCTCTTGCCTTTGTTCAGGCCGGGCGTGGCATGGCTGCTCGAAAATGGGAAATGACCCGCTCATTACCGTATATACATGGTACAAGACAGGTACGAAGGTACCCCTTGACCGAGATAGTCGGAGACTGCAGGTATGAGGAACCAAAGAACTTGCACTGGGCAAGTCATTCCTCGTCGGAGTCTTCATCTCGTCCCAGTACCACTTTGAAGGCCCTTGGATGCCTCCTGGCGGAAATAGATTGATTAGTAAAAGAAACAAGCAAACATCAACAGAACCAAGAACAGGTATATTCGCCCGTAAATTACATGGTGAGGGGTGTCTTTTTAATCAAAGGAACTGGGTGCTGCAGCGGATGTGTGTTGGATCGCTGGGACAGCAACACGGGGTTTCTCAGTCAACGGAAGTTCGTTCTACTCTCATTTGGGCTTCTGGCCTACCCCTGGACATCCGGTCGTACCGAACCTCAGGTACGGTGAGTAGGGAGACACTGACGTGGTTAGATGCGGTGCCAAAACGTCGGGTCCAGGTCGTACCGAACAGGGTCGGTTCGGTACGAAAGCGGATCATACCAGCACCCGACTCGGGCCAGGTCACCAATTGAAACCTTTTAGAGCCTAACAAACCTCCATTTCGGAGACCTGTAGAGTCGGGTGCTAGGGTGCTGGTAGGGATTCTGATTCTGATTCTACTTGGAGCTGTGACGCAAATGATCCGACCGAGCCGACGTAGACAAGATCCCTTTCTGTTGTTTTCCGAAGACTTGTTGAGAAAACAGGAGAGAAACTCAACCACTTCCAAGGTATGTGGATGTCTGCCTGCTCTCAAGGTATGTGGATGTCTTGCGTACAGAGGCATACAGTGTGAAGTTGCATGTTGTTTTTGCAATATCACTTCTTTACAGTTTATCGTTTTGCAGAGCTTAATGCATACACATGACGTTGCCTTGTTCTAATGCATTGACACGATTTGACATGTACGTAAAGTTTGCCATGTACGTTGCGGTAGACTTGGATTTCCTCAAGGAACTTAGACAAAATATCACACACATTCCCAGAAGGGGGTTCATCCACTGGCAAATTACAATCACCCGATCTGCAAAAACAGGCCCAGCCTAGCACAGTGCATGAACAACACTTGTGTGAGGTCAACCATGTTTAATCTGCATCCATCATTTCCCGTGTCCTAAATTTGATCATTGTTGATTTGGTTTGTTGTTGTGTTCACCATCTGGTGATATGCCCTGCTTTGGACTTGGTTGAACACATGTCACTGGTTCAACGGCAAAAACACCGTGACACCAGTGTCGTTTTCGTTAAAAGCCAATCTTCAACATGTTTTGGACAAAAAATAACCTGCAAATAGTAAATGCCATTACTACACCGTTAGTATAGTTCTGTATCCGACCCCCCTGACGACGAAAAATTGAGCCTTCGTTTTGGATGTGGGAGCCCAAACCCCTCGAGTGGGACATATTTGACCATGCAAAAATATGTGATTCGCCCTCCAAGAAACACGGGAGAAAGACCGACCTTCGATTAACAACAAACACAAAAAGACACAAAAAAGAGTTGGGGCTGGTATAGAAACTTCTTCACACTCCTTGCCCTGGGAGTCCAAGACCATTTCCCCAAGCAGTGTGGTAACACTGACGTATGGATTTCGTGGCAAACACAATACTTTGTGACCTTGAAGTGCTGATTTCATTTCGCCGTGGCATGTGCAGTACCTTTTGGACGCACTACTTTGCGCGGTGCAATGTAGATTTCGTGGGACTCCCGTACGTGTGCTCAAACATCTCTTTCCACCTCTATAGACCTCTAGAACTCTCAACCGGGACCTTCGATTCTATCACCAACATCAGCTCTCTCTCTCTCTCTCTCTTTTTCTCTCTGGAGCCCACTGCGTCTAGATCTCTAGACCTTCTGCTTCTACGCCTCTAGACCTTAGACCTTTAGACACACTGTTTGGGGTCTCTTGCCGGGATAATGCCTTGAATGGTTGATCTGGTTTCGGAGTGCGCAGGTTTTGAAGTGCAACAATCCTTATAACAATAATGGTTGTCCGGTAAAGCTTATTAATCATAATAATCATGGTGCCCGGACGCTCCAAACAGGCTTTGGTCCCTCAAAACCATAGGGATTTGAGACCCCAGACCCCTCCATATGAGGGTCCGACCCCTCCATATGAGGGTCCGACCCCTCCATATGAGGGTCCATGAGCGTTTGGGTGGTTGAAATCCTAGAGTCTAAGAGTGTAAAGATTAACCCTATAGACTGGTTCGATATTGACAGTTACGCACAGGAAAAGTTCTCGATGTGCTCAAGACGCTGAAACAAACACGCTTTTCTTAGACTCCCTCCTGGCAGACCGTGCAAGCCGAAGCACACCTTGGATGTTGCGTCTCCAAGGAACTGGGGAAAACATCTTCCACACCAGGAGGTTAAGGGGTGTCGAAAAACCACCGGACTTGGAAGGTCCTAAAAGGAGGGGATTCATGAAGTTCGGACAAATAAGAGATCATTTTGAGCAACACCAGGACACGGTGCATATTCTCCAAGTGCTCCTGCGGCCCAGGTGGTAGCGGCTGCCCAAGCGGACGTGGCTCCATGGAAGGCTCCCAGGATCGGTACGTCGCGAGGGTGGAGTCATCGTAGTAAATCTGATCTTCAGATGAGATGGCAAACCTGAGGACCCAAACCGGCCAGGTCAACCGGTCAAACAGTGTAGACAGAGAGCTGATCTAGACCGGTTATGACCGGTTGACATGCTCCCCTTGACATGCTCCAGTCAACCGGCACGGCCTTGACCCGAACCATTTGACCCGGGTCAATCGACCGAGTTTCGAGCGTCGCACGAGTTTGGATCTTGAGATGGCGCTTTTAAGACGTGACGTCGAGATGGCAACTCGGCCAAACAACCTCTTCTGTGGACATAACACGTTATTATAGCTTGAGAACAGACATAACATCGTCCTGAACAGGGTCAGGAAGCAAGATGTCTGGTGCTGCCAGAAGAGCTTCGCCTGGAACGTCCTGGAACGTCTGGGGGAGTTGCAAATCATGTTCCTTGAGCTCGGTCAGGCTGGCGAGCACCTCTCGATCCTCATGCATGTGCCAGGACAACATCTTGTTTAATGCCAAGTAACAAGAAGCTACGAACGGGGCTCCTGGCATCGCTACTAGGAGCAAGGACACTACTAGGGGCTCCTAACGGAACAAGAAGCTAGTGGATTGAGAGGTTCGATGGCACTGGCACTGACCCACCACTCTACCGGCCGTCAATGACCATCTCAAAGGGTCGGCCGAGCCAGACAGTAAGCCAGACATCTGCAAGCCAGTGCATCGGTCTCCAAAAACCCTCTGCACTGAGGTCCGCATGTACCCTGATATTGATTTGAATGCCCAATCGCTCCAAGCCGGCCTTGGTCCTTTAAAACCTATAAAAATTGGTTGGACCCCCAAACCCTGGTTGAACCCGAGGATTTGGTCGGTCCAGCCCCTGCAGAACGGTCCAGACTTCACGTCTGGGTGGGACCATAAAACACATGCTCCCTCCATTTTTCAGGATTCCGAACGAGTGGAACAGGCGTAGGTTCGTGACCGTAGGTTCGTGACCGTTTCGAGGTTCTCAGTACAAGTTCCAAGTTTCTGGTTAATAAGTCCTTTATTAAAGATATTCTCAGTTCCTGCCAAAGTGTGTCCAAAGTCCTTGCAATGTGTATTGATTTTGTTTTTTTTTGCATCATAAGAATCAGTGTGATGTCTTGACTTCATCTGAGCTGACTTCTTGCTATATCTTGAGATATCGGACAGCAATGGAAAAACTAGACCTGACATGAAATACGTGGATTTGTTCAAGGCACTGGACAACACATTCCCCACAAAAAGGACTTACCCTTGCCGCCATACAGGGAAATTTCACAACAATCACCCTAAGACTCCCTAAGGCCCTAAGCAAAACTATAGGAATGGTCTTCTCCTCACATCCTCCAAGGTGGGGTAGTTACATTGACCACCCCAACCACCGTCTCAGCATCATCCAGTTCAAACAAGACAGACGAACCAACCGAGGTCTGGCACGAACCGTCAACCCAGAAGAACAGTTGTTGCAAATAAGTGATTGGTCCCTGTGATGTATTTTGTTTCTCTTTTTAACCCATAGCTTCTTCAAAATGGAAAACACCAGGTACATGAACCATTTGCACATCTGTCTTTGCAGGGTCAATCGAGGTGAACATGCAATTCCTTCACATCAATTTGATGATTACATTGGTCTCCAACTACCTCCTGAGAAGATGGTTGGCGTGGGTGCCAGGGGGGTCTAACATGGTCTAACCAATTTCTGAGGATCTGGTTGGAGCCCTAGGGGATATCATGGTATCTTGGGGGGGATGTGGAGAAACCACAACCAAGCAGCATTCACACGTGGCTGATCGGAGCTCACCAGTGCCCTTGCAACCGGCCTTACGGGTGCCGGTGCATCGCTGGGAAGCACCTTCGAGAAGCGAATGGCGCTCTCACCCCGTGGGAAGCGTGCGCTGCTCGCGCTCGCGGCACAACCCATGGGCCGCACGTGCGACGCGACGAGCGAAGCTTGGGCACTGCTGCCCGCGCGAGATAAAGGGCTGAGGAAGAAAACTTCAATAGACCATGGAGAGGACCGTCCGTCTGAGGTGTCTAGATCTGCGTTTGCCAAGTAGAGAAGTGTCTGTGTCGACGTCGGGGTGTCCTGGTTGGCCAGGCAGAATGAGATCGGTCCTGGTATAAACCAAGAGAGGTAGCCAGTGACCGGGACCATAGGACCCGTCACCTGGGGTACCCAACGGGGATAGTCTAGTTCGATGTCTAGTTCGGGTCCTTCAACCTCTGAGACCGGTGATGAAAACGCCTCGGAACACCACCTTCTCGGCCTTCCGGTCCAGGGGCCCTGCAGCCCGGCAGTGGGAGTGATCTCAGCAGGTTGGCTGCCAACGAAAAGAGGGGAGAGTTCGAAGGGACTCTTCCAGCTCACGTGGAGCTTTTCGGACTCTTCCAGGTTTGATTCATCTCTCCAAATGGGATTTTTTCCCCACCTGCCAGGTGAGGGTTGTTAGATTTTATCACAGTTGTTCCTTCTTCCTTCCTTCCTTCCTTCCTTCCTTCCTTCCTTCCTTCCTTCCTT